TGGGGGAGTGATGGGGAAGTGATGGGGAGCGATGGGGAGCGATGGGGGAGTGATGGGGAAGTGATGGGGAGTGATGGAGAGCGATGGGGAGCGATGGGGAGCAGCAGATGAAGCTTCGCTCTCTCGCCCGCCACTCACCTCCTGCTGTGCCACATGGTTCCTAACAGGCTGCAAACTGTACCAGTCTGTGGCCCAGGGTTTGGGGACCCCTGCCTTATGGGATTGAGCCCTTGATTGTGGGGCCTGACTTGAACTCTGGGTAGTTTTTTGTTTTTTGTTTTTGGCTGCACTGCACTGCACAGCTTGTGGGAGCTGCACAGTTCCCCAACCAGGGACTGAAGCCGTGCCCTTGGCTGTGGAAGTGTGGAGCCCTAATCCCTGGACCAGAGGGACTTCCCTCTGGCTGGTTTTGTCAGAGCTGAAATGAATTATAAGACACTCACTGGGTGTGGGGTGGGGTATGCACACGTCACTGGAGGCTCTAAACCAGGCTGCCCGAGGAACAGCCTCTAACACCTTGCCCTCTGTGTGTCCCCGAAGCTGGTCAAAGCCAGTGAGGTCTGGCAGCCGCTGAGCCCCAAGCCCTCCCTGCAGCCTCTGCTCATGCTCCCGAGCCCCCATTCATCAGCACCTCTGAAAGGGGTCAGACCCCAGGGGCCGGCACCGAGAGCCTGGTGGACAAGTCTCTCCCAGCCCAGAGACGCCACCATGGCCCCCAGCTCCCAGCGCCTGGCTCTTCCAGGAGCTTCCAGGCCTGCTGGGGAGCTCCTGGGGGCAAGGCCTGTGTGCTTCGCCCGCCCCCCGCCACCCCGGGCAGGTGCCAAGGACAGACAGACAGAGGACCGAGAGACATGAAGCCAAGTGGTTTTTTTTGTTTGTTTGTTTGTTTGTTTTGCGGTACGCGGGGCTCTCACTGTTGTGGCCTCTCCCATTGCAGAGCACAGGCTCCGGACACGCAGGCCCAGCGGCCATGGCTCACGGGCCCAGCCGCTCCGCGGCATGTGGGATCTTCCCGGACCGGGGCACGAACCCGTGTTCCCCGCATCGGCAGGTGGACTCTCAACCACTGCGCCACCAGGGAAGCCCCGAGTGGGTTTTTATTAGCAGCAGGTAGGAGGCATCTTGGGCTGACTGGATCCAAGAGAGAAGATTCTGGCTGAGAGGACTTGGACCGGTCACTCCTGGCAGCCAGGGGCTCTCAGGGATGTCCCTCGCTGGAGAGAGCCCTCTGCAGGGGACGTGGAGGCCTCAGAGGAGGTGGAGCCTGGTCACGGTGGAGGCAGGGGAGGGAGGGATGCTGTGTGTGGGCCAGTGAGCCCTCCACACTACTGTCTCGGGCCCTCACTATCGCCCGTGGGCAGGCAGGCAGGCGAGGTCACAGCTGGCAGGGACTGTTATCTGGGAACCATGTCTCTGGGCTCCTAACCCAGAGCTCCTCCCCAGATTAAGTGGCAAAGGCACAAGCATTGCAGGTGGGCCCGGCTGGACCAAGTCCCACCAAGCAAGTGTTCCTCTGAGCCCCCTTTGCTAGTCTGAGACCCACTCTCTAACCCAACGGCATCAAGTGCATGCAGAGGCCTGCAGCTGTTGCAGCCCTGGGTCACTGCTGCCTGAGCCCCCGCCCTCTCCTGTGTCTTACTGCCCTCAGGGACCTGCAGAGGCCCCAAGGTCAGGGGAGGCAAAGGGAGAAGCCAAGTCCACCATCCCCAGGGCAGTGTCTCGGGAAGGTGTCTTGAGGGCGGGGTCTCCGGGATGCTTACCTGTGGCGGGGACCACACACCTCATGGCACATGAGCTGAAGCAGCACTTCTGGTTCTCCATACATTGGTCATCCCTGGAGCACTCGTTTCTCTCTAAGCAGAGCTTTGGGGCCAGCAGGGCCTGCACCCGGGGACAGCAGCCAGCCTTTGGAACAGGTACTAGGGGAGAGGCGGGCCAGGCCTTCATCGTCCACTGGCTTGCTGGGGCTGCCCCACTGCTGGTCTCCGGCGGCCCCCAACCTTCACCCCCCCCTTGGTGGCCTGGAGCTTGAAGGATGGGAGGGAGACAGCAGCCCTCGTGGATCGCTGAGCCGGGCACTGGTGATGTTGGGAGGAAGTGGGCGAGCCTCAGCTGGGCCTCCGGTGGGTCCAGCAGGTGAAGCGGTGTCATGGCCGGGCTTTTATGGGGCCACTGGGGGGTTCACTGAGAGCGGAGTGTGGAGTGCTGGCTCAAGGGGACCCTTGACAAAGCTGGTCCCTCCGTCCCTCCAGATGGGGCTCCACTGGGGCGCAGGGACGGCGGCATTACCTATGAGGGGGACCACGCAGGATCAGCTGCAGGGGCTCCTGGTGCAGCACCTGGTGTCTTGGGGACAGTTCTCATCGTTGACACAGGAGATTGTGCAGGAATCCTCGGAGGAGGAGCTGAGCTCTGGGCACACGCCTGCCCTGCACACAGGATGGGGAGGTGGGTGGGGGGTGGCCGGCCGGATCCCGCCTCCCCTGGGGCTCCTCAGGGGAAAGCAAGGTGGGGCAAGGACAGAACCATGGGGAGGCGGGTCCCCAGCAGCCCAGCGCTCTGCTTCTAGGAAAGAAAAAATCTGCCAGAAATGTGACATGGCTGACAAAAGTGTGAATCAGCTGTGAAAATTAGGAAACAAGGCGTCAGGCGCACTGCAGGAGGTGGAGTTAAGACCCTGAGGGGCCAGGACAGGCTCCCCCCATGCCCAGTTAGCTGCCCGGTCACTTTTCACCCTGGGACAGTGGCCTGGGCCCTGTGGCTCTAGTTCCCCAGCACACGGGCATCTTTGGGCAGTACCCCACTCTTCTGCTGTCACTGACACACCCCGCCGCGGGGTGTGCCTCCCCCGTTCTCTCCTCTTGTCCCAGTTACCAAACTGCCAGGTCGGGCAGTGTTTCAGGGGCGCACCTGGAGGGGAGGGAGTTCGGGACGACCCTCCTGGGCCTACCTGGCAAGGGGAGGGCCGGGGCCAGCCTCAGGGCAGCCTTCAGGGCGAGCAGGGCCAGGGCCAGGCTGGCAAGACAACGCATGGTGGCGGGTGGCAGGCAGGTGGCAGATGGTGGCTTGTGGCCCGGGGCCCCTTTAAAGGGGGGGGGGGGGGGGGGGGGGCGGGGGGGGGGGGGGGGGCGGCTGGGGCTGCCCCAGTGGGACCGAGGGGCTTCCGGCTTGGACAGAGCCCAGACTGGGCAGCTGCTGCCTTGGGCCGCATTTGTAAACAAAAAAAGAATTCCTAATAAGGTGGACCATTTTTTTCCACTTTGAAAGTAATGCGTGTTTACTCTGAGAATTAAGAAAATGAAGGGCAGACGAAGGAAGAAATAGAATCCACAACAACACAACGTGGCGTTGTTTTCCGTGGTCGTGGGGGTGCCCTTCAGGGAGAGGGAGTCACAGGTCCAGTTCAGCACACGGTCCACAGGTAACGGAGAAGGGGGAGGAGCCCAGGCGCAGGGGTATCTGGGGGGGCGTTTTATTTCTCCCATGGTGTCTTTTCCTGAACATTCTACAGCAAGAATAGGCCGTCTTTGAGTTTATGGGCTGCATGTTCTGTGCAGAGAATGTCGGGCATCCGAGAAAGGGAGGGGCAGGGACAGTGTCAGGGCTGTTTCTGCACAGGGCGGACACTGGGAAGGCCTCTTCCCAGAAGGGCCCGCCTGTGCCCTGTGAGCGGGACCAACATCAAGGAGACGTGCCCCTCCTTCTCTGGGGAAACTTCCTTGATCCTGCTGCCCTGAGGGCCTGGACAGGGAAGGTGGCCCCGGGGTGACCACGTGTGCTGATGGTCAGTGCCCACCCCTGGTCCAGGCCATACTCTGCCTGGCCTGTGGCCTCTTGACCTTTGACACAGAGCCCCTCAGTGCTTCCCTGGGTACTCGCGTTTCCAGATGTTTTAGCCCGGAACACCCTGCCACTACGACAGACAGCTCAGGTCCCCCTGGCTCTCCCTGACTCCGGGCCCCATGTAGCACCGTCTCAGTCCCTAGGACCCCTCAGCAGAGTTCTCGGACCTCAGCCCAGGTCCCTCCCGGGGTGGCCAGTGCTGGCCTTCAGGGATGGGGGTCTGGAGTCCTGGCCAATGGCGACTTGCTACCTGCTGGTGCCTCTTTACACTGGCAGCTCACAAGATGCTCCCCCTTTGGCTGTTTCCCCTCCTGCAGTCTGAGAATGCAGTGCACAGGTCAGAGCGGGGTACTGAGGTTCAGAGAAGTGAGGGGTGGCCAGGCCACGGTCACTCGCTGGCTGGCCCTGCTGACCTTTCTCTCCCTTTTCTCTGTCCCTCCCCCTACACCACGGCCGGGAGGACTCAGGGTCCTCCTGGCTCAGATGCTGGGTCTGAGGCCAGGCTGACCACACCAGGAACTCAGGCCACGGGGCCGTGGCCTCATACTGAGTCGCCAGCCTCTGGCTCCCTGGGACACAGCCCTTGGGCTATGGGACCTGTGGTCATAGGGTCACAGGGCCTGGTCCCTTCCTCCTTGACCATAGGGCTGGCTACATACTTTGTGGGGTGCCTTGTTCAACAAGTGGGAAGAAAGTGTTCGTAAAGATACTAAATACAAAGGTTTTCCTCTTTTCCATGTCTCTCATTTTTAAAAATGGTGTTTTTTAAAAATGTCACTCTAGCTAAATTAAAATTAAATGTTTCTATTATTAGTGTGAATATTACCATTCATCTTTTTTTTTTTTTTTTTTGCGGTATGCGGGCCTCTCACTGTTGTGGCCTCTCCTGTTGTGGAGCACAGGCTCTAGACGTGCAGGCTCAGTGGCCATGGCTCACGGGCCCAGCCGCTCCACAGCATGTGGGATCTTCCCGGACCGGGGCATGAACCTGTGTCACCTGCATCAGCAGGCGGACTCTCAACCACTGCGCCACCAGGGAAGCCCACCATTCATCTTTATATTGTGAAATGCCAGTTTAAATGAGAACACGAGAGCATTTGACTCTTATGTGGAATCACCAAAATCGTAGTTTACATCCCTGGTTGGGATGGGCACATGTATTTCATTCTGCACAAAACTTACAAAGTTCTTTCTCTTCACTTTTTTTCCTTTTATTTTCAGATTCACTCTGTTTTTAAAAAAATAAATTTATTTACTTTTGGCTGCATTGAGTCTTCGTTGCTGCGCATAGGCTTTCTCTAGTTGTGGCAAGCGGGGGCTACTCTTCATTGCAGTGCGCGGGCTTCTCATTGTGGTGGCTTCTCTTGTTGCAGAGCATGGGCTCTAGGCGCACGGGCTTCAGTAGTTTTGGCATGTGGGCTCAGTAGTTGTGGCTCTGAGGCTGTAGAGCGCAGGCTCAGTAGTTGTGGCACGTGGGCTTAGTTACTCAGCGGTATGTGCGATCTTCCCGGACGAGGGCTTGAACCTGTGTCCCCTGCATTGGCAGGCGGATTCTTAACCGCTGCGCCACCAGGGAAGTCCCCATGCTGGTCTTTCTGGCCAGCTGAGCTTTCGCACATTAGCATGATCCTATCACTCACCGTCCCTCCCCCCAGCCACCCCTGCCATCTGAAATTCTTCCTATACAACCTGGGGGGTGAAGTCCAAACACAGGGTGTGGCATGAATGCCCTTCCCATGAAGTGGTCAAGCGGGAGGGTTTGAACCCATGCCTGGGTGGGTCCAGCCCTGTTTCTGCTAGTTCTGTGACCTTGAACTATTTACTGTTTCTCACCTGTGCATGGGGTGAGGATGTTGCCTAAGGAACCCAGGTGTTGCAAAAGCATTTGGCACCTGGGGCATAGCACGTTAGCGGACATTCCTGTCCTTGACATTCTCTGATCTCTGTGATTTAGGTTGAGACTTTTGGGGCGGTGAGGGCTGTTAGCAGATTACATCTCAGAATGTATTTTATGATCAACACAAGGGCATTGGCTAATGTTGAAGTCTTGCCTAAGATTTGAAGGCTCAAGATTTAAGGCCCCTGGGTAAACCCATCGTGGAAGGAGTCTGTCCTTGGGAATCGGGCTCTGGTCTCATTTGCTGTGTGACCTCAGACAGGTCGTTTCCCTCCACGTGCCCCTCAGTTCTCCCACCTATGAAACGGAGGCAACGACAGCATCTTTCATAACGGGTAGGTGTGAGGGTTACATGAGGTGGTAAATTAGTGAAGGTGCCTCTTATCTAGAAAGCTTTCTACAGATTTCAACTGAGGTTATTTAGAAGATAATTTCAAAGTTTTTAAATTAGAAAAATAATTGATACACATTGCAGAAAACTTGCACAATTCAGAAAAGCATAAAGAAGAAAAAGAAAATCACACATGATCTGTGTCCTGGAGCTACCTTGTTAATGTCTTCATTCACCTTCATCTGGCTTTTTCCTATGTAAGCACATGTGTATCTGTCACATCCCACCATATATACACAGACTGTTCCCCCCAGGCAATCTCCTGTCACTGGGGCTGTGCTGCAGGTGTGGTACAGTCACATTTTACTCAGAGCACTCCCATGCCTTCAAGACTTATGGAAAGCATGGTGGTCAGTGGTGGGGAACCAAGTCACTTCCCTGGCAGGCCACCACCATTAACCCATTTCCTCAGCTTCTAAGAGAACCCTTCACACAGCCATGAGACTGGGACTGCACTTTTCATCTGGAGGGGGAGTGGAGGCCAGCTCTAATTGCTGGGTGCTGGGGAGGCCAGGCCAGGGGGGATGCAGGCCCGGTGAGCTTAGGGGGAAGGGGAGGGGCAAGAGGTGTTGGCAGGCCAGGACTTCAGGCAGGTTCTCGGCCCCGAGGGCTAGACGGAGAACCAGGAGTTTCCAGGAATGATGTTCCCTGTGCTCACCAGCCCCGGGGCAGGGACGTGGGGTCCTCGGGCCCTGGGGGTGTTCACTGGCCCCTCTGGCATGGCCTCAGCCCATCTTCTTCCAAGACCTGCAGGCCTTTTCTCTCTGCACAGCTCCTGTGTGTCAGGATGGATGGGGAAACTGAGGCTCAGCTGTGATCTCCCGGAGCATCAGTTACATGGTGAGCTAAGCGCATAGTGTCCCCACTGGTTCTGTGGGGTCAGCTGGGTTTGGGGTTTCCTCCAAACTCTCATGCCCAAGACCAGGTAGGGGAGGCCATGCCATTCACACGCTTGCCCCTCTCTGTGGGGACCATCACGGCCCCTGGGTGGGAGTCCCATCTTCATCGGATCTCTCACAGCTCATGAACTTTTCCACACCCTGATCTTACCAAGTCAGTGCATGTAGCAGTTGCTTCTCCTGCCTCTTGCTCCTCTCCAGAAATTTCTTTCCTCCCCCAAGTTTCTCAAGGCTCTATCGGCACCTCTTGTTCAGGGCTCCTGGGTGTGGGGCTGTCGGGGAGCCCTGCCCCTTCCCTCATGATCCAACAGCACTGTGGTCCCCTCGGGCTCCCATGGGGTCTGCTGGGTTAGCGGGACATCCAGGGTGAAGGGTGTGCTGCAGGGGCTGCCGGGTGGTCCTGGTAGGAAGGCTTGGGTGGCTGCGCCCCACGGCATCACCCCTGTTCAGGGTCCCTACTCTTCATCCATTCATCCAGGCTGGTTGTCTGGCCAGGGACACCGGTGAATGCAGCCCTCTGGTCCCAGGTGTGCACTGGTGCAGGCATCTCACCGGCTGGGGACCTGGAGGCTGAGAGAGGCCGGAAGATGTGGACGGTCCAGGGGCCATGAGGGGTGGTGCTGCCAGGCACAAAGAAACGGAGTCTTCTAGGGCAGCGGTCCCTAACCTATTTGGCACCAGGGGCCAGTTTCGTGGAAGACAATTTTTCCACGGACGGGGGGCGGGGGGCAGTGGCGGGAGTGGTTCGGGCGGTAATGCCAGCGACGGGGAGGGGCAGATGAAGATTCCATTGCCCACCGCTCACCGCCTGCTGTGCGGCCCGCTTCCTAACAGGCTGCCGACCGGTACTGGGCCACGGCCCCGGGGTTGGGGACCCCAGTTCTAGGGGAGTCTGATAACCACGTCACTCAAGTGGGAGGGAGCTGGGGAGGCCGCAGACCTGGACCACACAGGGCATGGAGCCAGGCCAGATGTCAGGGTGGGTGGGCACGGCCAGTATGT